TTGTATGAACCAAAAGTATAGCAGTATTACATCTGGTTCCTTTCGTATAGCCTTATAGTCTGATATGGTTAGGTTTATCATTGTATGAACCAAAATCTTACGGATCGTATAGAGGCTTTGCACCATCACGTGATGGCAGCCATGACAGGAGGCACAGCAATAGTCTTTCTTCCCTGGGAAACTGAATTCTTTCTCGCGCAAATCAAATTAGACCTGATTCAGTTCACCATTTTCCATACATCGGTTCACTGGTCAAACACAAAGCGCTCAAGCGAGGCGCCAAGGTACTTTCAAAGGATTATTCAAATTTGAACCTTGCAACCTCGACTGAATGCTTTGTGTTTGACCAATGAACCGATGTATGGGAAATGAAAATTGTTCCTGCCTCCTGTCATGGCTGCCATCACGTAATGGTGCAAAGTCTCTATTAACTGCAAGTTTTGTGTGTGTTTGCTCGATATTACTTTACTGAAAGGAGCGGTTGCGCGATATTTTTTCCGTAGGCGAAGTGCTTGCTCGATATTGTTTTTTTTGGCGGGATTTACGGAAAACCGCACTCATCTATTATATAATGGTCCGTCCTTAACGCCCTTTATCTTTAGGTAATTATCTGTTCATTGAGTGATAAAGATCAAGTCGAATTTCAGCAAAATATGACGGATGTATTAACTTTAATCAGGATTTTAAAGAACAGTCTTTTAGTTATTAGGAAATGGCAGATTGGATTGAAGTTTTAGAGGCTGTTGGTCGTTTTTTTTTTTTTTTTACGGATTTAGCGGATTTGGAAATTAAAATACCGAAGTTTGGTGGATGAAAATTAATTATCATTAATCCTTAGCCATCAAAATTCGGTATTATTTTAATAACAAGTTTCATTCATGAGAACGATTAAATTAATATAAGAATACAGCATTAATGCATTTCGGCAATATTTTATTGATTTTAGGAAGTGATTTATTTTTTTAAGAGGGGGGAGGGGGTGGTCCTCCCCTTGAAATTTGTTGCATTCTTGACCCTCGCCCATATGTAGTATGAAATATTTGATGACCCGCCGTTTTTGATTGAGTAGAAATTTAACAGCATTTTCTTCAAACCATGAACCATGAAAACCTCTGTATCGAACCCTGAAACAACCTCTGGGCTGAT